ATAAATTGACGGTCATAAAATAAATGGAGACAGAGAGAGAGAGAGAGAGAAGGGCCTGTAGGAGACGATGCTGGAGATATGACAGGAGGACAACAACCAGGAGACCGACACACTGGATGATTAACTTAATGGGGCAAGTCGCTGGCCAGAGATCGAGGCTGCTTCACGGATCCAAGCAGCAGGACTCCAGGTACAGCCAGAACACTCTCTTTACCACAATGAAGATGACTTAAACCACTGATAGAATTGAGACCGAGTAAAGTGTCTTTTGGTCAGGTTGTGATATTATGTTCCCGGTTGTAAATGATGTTTCCTAGATGACAGACACCACGAGGGAAAAAACAACAACAACTGAACAACCTAAGCAAGAGTTGAGGGACCTTAGACCACCGCCTCAGGTTGGTCACGGCCCTCCAGGTTCGCCTCTTTCCAGGATTCATTCGTGGATTGTCTAGTCGTCCAGTCAGAATTCAATGCAATAAGACGCATTCCTATTCTATAATCCCTAACCGGAGATACGCCCGGGTGGGTTAAAGTCTCACTCGGAGTTGGGACTGACCATCATGTCGGAGTTTGTGTGTTTACATCAACCAAAAAGCTCGTGATACACTTTCTTTTTTCACCGCGGCGCCACTATTACGGTACAGTGTGGGGGACATCCTCTCGGTCATATATTGAAGTATATCTGTCATGCTGTCACTCTTCCTCTCCTAACCTCCTTCTTCCCGTCCACACCACTCCTCCCCTCCATACCACCATAAATTATACCATAAAAACAACAAAAAGAGCTTTTACATGAGTTAAGAGAGGCCTATCACCCTCGACCCTGCCAATAATACGCTGATGGAGGATAATATGGAAACGAGCGCTTACATCCCTTCTTGGCGACCACTTCCTGGGCGAGGCTCTTCTGTCGCCAAGTCCACGTGACCACCCACCTCTCACACACCCAGCCTCACATCACCAGTAATATGACAGGGAATCACCAGGTCACAGCAGCCCTACAAGCTCTCTGGCAGAAGATGACATGATCCTCCTCCATCAGGTAGGTCTTCCCTCTTCAATCCTGACGGCGATCCCTCTATAACCGAGTTAAAAACAGTGGCCCTTCCTCGGTCCTCCTCACCTACATCTTGTAACATCAGAGTCAAAAAACGCCAAGTAGGGCCCAGGGGACGTGTTCCTACTACGGCTTACGGTATTACCCTCCCACGCCTGAACCTGAAGACGTAACACGGAGGTCGATGAATGACAGGCACTGAATATATAGCGACTTTTTTGTGAATATCATTGTAGGTTATATTATGTAAATGAGGTCGTTGGGAAAGGAGCGTCCGTATCTGTGTGTTTCTGAGGCAGAGACGAGAGACGGAGAGACAGACATATGAATAAATTGCAGGGAGACAAACAGATGAATAACCTGCAGAGAGAGAGAGAGAGAGAGAGAGAGAGAGAGAGAGAGAGAGGTTGAATAGGAATTAAAGAAAAGATAAATACAGATACTTAAGAGAAATATCAGAGATGGCAGAACATGGAAGTAAGAAAATGTGGAAAGAAAGAGAATAAGAAGACGAAGAAGATTCAAGAAAGGAAAGATGAAAAAAGAGAAAGAAGGGAAATAAAGGAAAGAAGTAAATAGAGAAATAATAATAACAAACCACAACACCCAGTAATCATCTCTCTCTTTTTTACTTTAACTTTTGATTTAAATTCCTTCATCACTAACAGGGAATAAACGCAATGGAAACGAGTACTGAACGTGTTCCTTGGGTCAATCCTTCTTTGAATCGTTTTTCCTGTTCACCGTTACATTGCATTCCTAAACTGCCTATGTAACTATCTATCTTATCTATCTATATGAAATGATCGGCCAGTCACAGGTAGTCTAAACACGATATAATTCTCGTCATATTTCTCAACCAATTTCCACGTTTGTTTTCTAAGGTTTATTATTATTGGTTAGTAAGAATTAAAGCCAAAGCAAAGGACCCGACTGGAATTAAGCACCTGATGGCTTCGTTGGCTATCGTTGGTTAGTCGAATTGTCTTTCTGTTTCCCATTGGTTGTATATAGGACTGTGTATGTTAAGAGGTATATAATTAATTTGCTTCCCTCCCCCCCCCTGAGACATACAAAATAGCTGCTAGGCCCAGGTAGGTGAATAAGTTAATAGTTGTGTTTGTAAGTATATCGTAGGTTATAATGGTTGTTATAAAGCGGGGGTAAATATCATAAAAGATGGGTGTTATTATTAGCTGAATTAAAACCCAATTCAGAATAATCAGTATCGTCTATCAGTGATGTATCTAGTATTAAAACAACGGCAAACATTTAAACATCTTGAAAGTATCCCAGAGGCCACTGCCCACTACACGAGGCTCCCAGTACCAGCGGCAACGTTTTCTATGACAGTCACAAGTATCGGTATTAGAGAAAACTATAAGCTTGAGGGGAAACTTAACTAGTAAATATTGGCAATGTTGTCATCCATTTCTAACATTTACCGTGACCGTCTTCAATATTTAATGTAAGTAGAACGAGGTAAATAACTTGATGTTTAATTAGTACAGGTAAAGAGGGATTTTTCTAACACCCTGTACATAGTGATATTACTGACCATCTAAATTGTAAAACACCTTTACATTACTATCTAACATATAGCCCAAACATTCATTAACTTCATAACATTCCTTTAACCATGTAGTTACTTCTCTTAGTTAAATACATAATAAAAATAACAGTTATAAATTACAGTTATCTTTGTGTTATGACCAAACTGTGTGTTCATCTTACGGTCCTACACTGTTATTAATTATACCTCAATATCCAATTCCATCATCCACAAGATACACTATATGGATAATCTCTGACGTCACTATCTGCAGTTATCCAAATTCCTCCACTAAGGCTATCTTGTACAACCGTATGACGTCATTTAAGATTATTTCAAAACTTTCTCGGCTTTTAATTGGTTAATACGATTTACTGTTTACCATTATCTGTACACCTGTCCTGTCTATATATGCTGAGATAATATGAACGTATATGGTGATTCTTTTAATGAAGATCTAACACTCATACTGTACTGTCGTGTTGCATCACATACAGTAAGACGCATCATGCTCTCCTACTGTCGTGTTGCATCACATACAGTAGGACGCATCATGCTCTCCTACTGTCGTGTTGCATCACATACAGTAGGACGCATCATGCTCTCCTACTGTCGTGTTGCATCACATACAGTAAGACGCATCATGCTCTCCTGCTGTCGTGTTGCATCACATACAGTAGGACGCATCATGCTCTCCTGCTGTCGTGTTGCATCACATACAGTAGGACGCATCATGCTCTCCTACTGTCGTGTTGCATCACATACAGTAGGACGCATCATACTCTCCTACTGTCGTGTTGCATCACATACAGTAAGACGCATCATGCTCTCCTACTGTCGTGTTGCATCACATACAGTAGAACACATAATACTCTCCTACTGTCGTGTTGCATCACATACAGTAGGACGCATCATGCTCTCCTACTGTCGTGTTGCATCACATACAGTAGGACGCATCATGCTCTCCTACTGTCGTGTTGCATCACATACAGTAAGACGCATCATGCTCTCCTGCTGTCGTGTTGCATCACATACAGTAGGACGCATCATGCTCTCCTACTTTCGTGTTGCATCACATACAGTAAGGCGCATCATGCTCTCCTACTGTCGTGTTGCATCACATACAGTAGGACGCATCATGCTCTCCTACTGTCGTGTTGTATCACATACAGTAAGACGCATCATGCTCTCCTACTGTCGTGTTGCATCACATACAGTAGGACGCATCATGCCCTCCTACATCTCGCTCGCTGTCCCTACTACTCCCCGGCACCTTGACAACATTAAGAGGGAGTATCAGATTAAACCCACATGTCATTTCTATTCTAGTTCCCTCCCTCCCCCTCCTTCACTTCCAGCTTTCCCTCCTCCTCACTTCTGTACTCTCAGTTAGAAGGTGAGGCTGAAAATATTACTGCAGGTCTTTGGATGACGATACGAGGTGAAGAACAGTTAAGTGGTCGGTATTGACTCCTTGTATATACTGTATGATGTATATTTCACTTGTACTGGGTACGAATACATCAGAATACATCTATAATGAGGTGTATTATTGTATTTAACCGATCAGAGTGTTTTTATCCATTGTTAGTGTTTATCTTGTGGCCTCTGTGCTCAAGGTCAGGCTGGAGTCAACAACACCAACAGATACGAAGATAAATTTAAGAGTTTTAAAAGAGTTACAAGTTTAGTAATACCGATATTGCCCGACAGGTTAACCTCTCAGGAAAAGTCCACACAGCCTTCTGGACTAAGAGGAACACTTTAAAAAAGAAACAGTAAATATAACGCTAAAAGACCGTAAATTATCACGAAAGAAAACCGTTACCTAGTTTACTGTTATTTACCTGTTTTTTCCTTATAATTTACGGTAAGACACTGGTAAATAGTCGACTTAAAAGAAAACACTAAAATTGACACTAAGAAGACCGTTAAATTTACGGTTTAAGGCCGACAACCGAGCTGCTTATCCTGTGACCGTCAATATTAACGGATTTTCTTTTAACAGTGAACCTGGCTTCTCACCTGCTGTACACGGTAGAAGAACGAAGTAAACAGTGTATTCAGCGACCAATAATACGAGCCCTAATGTTCCAACCCAGGCTGACTGACATACCTTACTACTAATATTAAAACTTACCTTATAGTTTATTTCTTACCTTATTCTGCCACACACGACATTACTTCAGGTTTTTTCTTCAATTTATTCTAACAGCATATATCCCATTCTACCACAGTCAGCCTGGTTCAGCCCCCCTCCCCCCTCCTAATCACAAACGACGAGCCACAACAAGTCTTGGGCGACGATGATCTCGACGTTCAGGACGATGAGCAGCTGCAGCGTCGACGAGGAAGTAAACAACAAGAGAGAGACATAGGGGTACTCACCACCTGGCCGACGTGGGCTACCTTGTCGATCTTCTGGTGTCCAACCTTAGCGCTAGGGAAGAGACCCTTGGCGGCGTTGGGGTCTTGGAATGAGAACTGAAGGAGAACACAAGATTTATATGACATTAATTTTACGTGAGCGGAAATAACTCAGGTGTCTGTTGTTTAAAAAATAATAATTATAAAAGCAAAAATGATGTACGTGTGAGTCTTTGTAAATAAACTGAGTAAAAGTGGCGATACATATAAGTGTGGAAGTAAAATAATGATTTTATTTAAGCAATGGAAATTTTGTGTTTGTCCTCCTAAAAGTAAATTCCATTAGTTTATGAAAAATAGTAATTATGTTCAAATACCAAACAATACTAAACTATTATACAGTATACGCTATATGGCGCCTGTTAATTAAAACAGGAACACCTGTCTAATAATACAAATGGATCCGGCCCCTAAGGTAAGGTATTCCCTGGCATCAAACGATCCCTTGGGTGTGAAGCTAATTACAGGTGGGCGCAGGTGAGAATGGCTGTGTTAGAATGTCAGTCACCCACCAGAGGACGCCACCTCCCCTCCCCTCCACGTGTTTGGACCGGTTAAATGTCACAACAATAGGTCACTTCCGTAGGTCACTTTGTCCTCAAGTCATTGCCTTATTCAGGTATAATCTCATAATTACGAGCTAAATATATACACGTGCTATTTATCAGCTAACTCCCCCCAAAATAGCGATCATACCAAAAAACATCCTTAACATAACATCTGGTACACCGGTCGTAAGAGGAGGAGTAACGTGACTTCTTCAAGATCATTAAGATGTTGAGTAAGGCCTCCGTCCGCGAGTAATACAGAGGCGGGTTTACTGAGGAGACAACACTGTTTTCCTCAATAGTTTGTGTTGCTTCCCTTATGACCACCGCCGAAAACATCCTTATATGATAAATACCAAAATATACCGCATGTTTTTGTTTATTGCCCCCGCCACACCCTGACCCCCCACCCCTAACCTCTCCCCTCCCTTCCCCCAACCCCACCCCCTCCCCACACACAAACACTAGACAGACGTTCAGTACAACAACATGGAACAAAACACCGGTTACTTCAATAGTTATGGACTAAAAGTTGAATTTATGACCACTGACCTTCTGTGACCCTGAACTATTGTTCCAAACCTCTTGTTTATTGTGTGGTTGTTTTGGTGTCATTGGAAGAAAAAATGAACAAAGAAAAAGAGAGAGAGAGATAATGATGAGTGACGTAACGAAGGTAAGATAAGTGACAGCGCTCATTCTCAGTAAAGTCCTCCTCCATCCCTTCACCCCTCCTCCCATGCCACACACACATACACACACACATGTGGGGTCAAGACCTATTCAGGCGCTGCTCCTGCTGAGCAGCTCTCCCCCTTGGCCAATGTTCGGCCCATTCCCCAAGTCCCTCTCCCCGACCCATCCTCACCACCGGGATATCAACATAATCAAAAGAGACAATTTCGTTCGGAAAGAAGTGGGATCAGTGTTGAACAGTGATGAACAGTGATGAACAGTGCTTAAGCCAGTGAACTCAGCACTAGACAGTACCAGTGACCCACCAGTGAGATAAGCACCCCTGGGAACTGTCCGCCATCTTCTGACAAGGAGGTGATAATCAGTCCACCCTGGGAACAACAGTGGGTCAGCTTCACACCTGACTACGAGATAACACAACACCACCCAGCAGAGAGTGAGGTACTGTGACACCACCCGGTGTCCCCATGACCACGTGAGGTCCTTCATATCAACACCCGAGGACGAGTTACTGCACCACGTGAACACCACACCACCTGGTGACCCCATGACCACGTGAGGTCTATCATCATCCGAGGACGAGTTACTACACCGCGTGAACACCACACCACCTGGTGTCTCCATGACCAGTCCAGGCCGGGCCATCAACTGTGAACTATAATAATTTGTATGTTCAATTCATGTTCTTTCTTCTTTCAGTAATGAAAGCTTTTGTTAAGCGACCCACCCACCCCATGTCTTTGTATGTAATAAGTCATTTTTGTCCAATCTTTATTTTCAGCCTTCGGGCTGCCGACTTTTTCAATAAACCGTTAATTATTATTATTATTATTAGTATTATCATTATTATTATTATTATTATTATTATTATTATTATTATTATTATTATTATTACACACACGTGTACAGACACACACGTGTGTAAACACACACACACAAACACATCAAGAACGTCACCTGAGACACCCATCCAGAAGGTCTTTGAGACAGAATAACATCTTGAGGCAAAAGAAGAAGACTTGAGATTTCCCCCGAGGAGGACAGCTCTTGTCAGGCGAGAGACGCGGGCGAAGAATGACATTAGCGGTGCAGCGCCACATTAAAGGTGTCAAGGGTGGCGGGGCTGTAAATACATCAGGGGGGGGGGCGTCTTCCTCCATGGGTGACGTGTGAGTGAAGGCAGATAAGAGTCGCTGATCCATATGTATACAGGCAGTCAGCTGGTGAGGTGGGGGAGGGAGGAAGGGTTCTGGCCTCGCGTCACAGGGTACAGTGATCTGGTAGGTTATGGCAGTACCCAGCTGAGAGACGCCCACGATCAAAGAAAAAAAGCAGAAAAAAACGCCCTCACACACCCCCACCCCCCTCGAGACAGAAGACCTACTACCTACACGACCTTACCATAACACTCCCTCCCTCCCTCCTCCTCCCTCCTCCTCCCCCCCTTTTATTACCATAGTTGAGGGTTATCACATCACCGGACTATATCAAGGCCAAGTACCGGACACCACCACCACTTTTACGGTGTCTCGGCCAACGTGTCTGGCGACCATAATCCTTGTCAGATGGCCACTCGGTATTGTCACGTGGCCATCAACCTCGTCAGATGGCCACTTGGTATTGTCACGTGGCCATCAACCTCGCTGGCGCCAGGTACACCGGGTCACTCAATATTTGTACTTGAGGCCCCCTGACAAGCGACTCTGGTCCTCACGACGTCAGTTCATACAGGTGATTAACCGCACTGGTGGGGGAGACCAAAAACACATTTCATTCCCCAATAATATTTTCTTCCCATACAACAAAATACAAAAAAACAATTACCTTGTCTTAATTACACCACCTTCAACTAATTACAGTAATTAAAACACAGGTACGCGTCTGCTAATTGCTTCTTTCGTAATTACCAAAAGTTATTCTTTAATTAGGTAAATTCTTCTTATCTACAGAGCAGTAATTATGTACAGGCTAATGAGATAAGTTATAATTTATCATCCATCACAGCTCTATAATCTATCATCCATCACAACACTATAACACAAAGCCTCCCTAACCACGTACAACATTAGATTAAGTCAAGGTCACATAACAATGGAACAGAAAAAATAAATCCCATTCCTCTCTCTCTCTCTCTCCGTTACCAGACTGATTTGCATAGTTAATGATAAGGAAATTCTGTGAACATTTGCTGGGAGGTAATAATAGGTAATTAACTCCGATATGACATTATCATTAGTGGTATTGATGCACCTTAATGATTACATACACACGTGGGAGAAGGACGTAAGAATGTTTATTTATCTCTCTCTCTCTCTCTCTCTCTCTGTCTCTCTCTCTCTCTCTCTCTCTCTCTCTCAGGTTACTTTACGACGCCATAATAAGTAAGACGCCTGTATGCATGTACTTTACGACGCCATAAGTAAGACGCCTGTATACTTGCACTTTACGACGCCACAATAAGTGAGGCAGCCACCGTCTTGAGGTCTGGTAGTTGGTACGCCATAACTTTTTAATTTCCGATACCTTGGCCCAGGCAGGAAGGGGGGAGCTTTACGAGCCTAGGGGGAGGGGTGAGAAGGGGGAGGGGTAGAGGGCAGGAGGAGAGAGAAGGAGGGGAAGGGAGGGGAGGGGGGATGGAGAGGGGGAGGGGGAGGAAGAGGGGGGGAGGGAGGGGGGGTGGGAGGGGGAAGAGGGAGGGAGAGGAGACATGGAGAACAGAGAAACAGTACAGAGAGGAGGGATGGAAAGATGAGGGGGGACTGAGAGAGGGGAAGGAAACATTCATCCCTAACCTGTCTCCCCCCTCCCCATCAAATAAAAGACTTCCACAACTTTAAATTGGATGGTCAATAATATGCTAATTTTATTATAATTTTTCGTAACCTTTGTATCTGCTTCAAAAAAATATTATTATTATTATTATTATTGTGTGTGTATTTACGATCTCTCCTTCATCCCTTCTTCCCCTCCTCCTCCCTCCATTCTTCTCCTTCCCTGTTTCTCTCCCCCTGTCCCTCTCTAATCACCCTCAAATCATACTCCCTGTCCCCTCTCTATCACTGTCCTTCCTCTCCTTCTATCACCTCCTCCCTCTCCCATCACCCCCTCCCTCTCCATCACCCCTCCCCTCTCCATCCCTCTCCCCTCTCCATCACCCTCCTCCCATCACCCTCCCTCCCTCCCTCTCCATCACCCCTCCTTCGTCCTGCACCTCTCCATGTACAGCCAGGAAATTCAAACCAAGGCGACAGGCTGAGGTGATCGTTAGTCTGGCGGTGGTTATCAAGAAGCGATTAGGAGGAACTAAGTCAAACGGTGTCATACAGTTTAGTTTAGTTTAGTGTGGTGTGGTGTGGTGTGGTGTGGTGTGGTGGCCGGGCAAGACCTAGATGCTATATACTGCTGGGATGTAGAGACCGAGAGACCAAGACCTTTTATACTGCTGGGATGTAGAGACCGAGACCTTTTATACTGCTAGGGGTGTAAAGGCAATACACCATCTACCCCTCCCCCCTTTACGAGGTCTCACGTTATCAATGACCCAATACTCTATCAGCATTCCTCCTCTCCGTCTTTCACGTGAGGTGGATCCTGGGAATAGACAAACCTAAAAAAAAAAAACAGGAAATAACAAAGTATAAGAGAGAACAAAATAAACAATAAACAAGAAGGAAGGAAGATAAAATAACGAGTAGAAATATCAACACCACAGGTCTGGTTCGTCAAAAGACTCGTACGGTCAAAACTTCCAGCTGTCAGAACACATATCAGCCGGGGATCATTTCAGCCAAATAGTGACCAAAAAAAAACACCATTGAAATGACATAGAAACTTGATGTAACTGGTTGGGTTCTCTCGTCCACAAGTTAGGTTCATAAAAAAAGTACAGTATATCTCTTTAGACTATCTCGGACTTAGGAAGAAACTGGGGGTGGAGTTATTATAGAAAACGGGGGTGGAGTTATTATAGAAAACGGGGATTGAGTTATTAAAGAAAATGGGGATTGAAGTTATTATTGAAAATGAGGGTTGGAAGTATTATAGAAAACGGAGGTTTAGGTATTATAGAAAACGGGGGTTGGAGGTATTATAGAAAATGGGAGTTGGAGGTATTATAGAAAACGGGGGTTGGAGTTATTATAGAAAATGGGTTTTTATACAAGAAAGAAAAAGGGAACATACTGAAGGTAATAAAGAAATTAAGAAGAGACAAAACTTAGTGAATGGGGGATGTACTCTCTCTCTCTCTCTCTCTCTCTCTCTCTCTCTCTCTCTAGCACCTACCACACTGCTCTCCCCAGCACCCACACTGCTTCTGCCTCTCTCCCAGAACCCACACACTGCCCCCCATAACACCCACACTGCGTTCTACGTAATAAAAAGTAGAGAGTTGTATTTCGTAGTTAAAAACGGGGCCCCATTGTATATCAACTCGTAAAATACTGTTAATAGCGGGACCAACACGGCTGTGAGAGAGGGCTTCCCTGCCACCATTATTACCAAGCAATGTTGTCAATGTTGCCAACACCCAGAAGAGGTGCTTGTCAATACTGCCAACACAGGGTAGAGATGGTTGTCAATACACACACACACATACATACATTACATATATACATACATACATACACACACACATACATACATACACACACACATACATACATACATACATACATACATACATACAGACATACATTAGATACATATGGCTACGTGTCTCACATCACACACAATCACTTTGATAATTACACATTTCTTAGAACTATTAAAAGAAATAATTTGACCATGAAAACACGTACAGGTATAAACCCAGTACTGTTTTTACTTTGTTTTAGGGTCATTAACGAGGTTTTAGTTTTAACGAGCAACTTTTAAAAATTCCTTTTTTTACTTTATTCTCAAAACAAAACTATTTGTTTTATCTTTATTTACTCTGTTGTTCATCTTAAGTAACTTTATTCAAACTGTTGTTCATCTTAACTTTATTCACAGTTATTTATCTTAAGTAACTTTATTCACTGTTGTTCATCTTAACTTTATTCACTGTTGTTCATCTTAACTTTATTCACTGTTGTTCATCTTAACTTTATTCACTGTTGTTCATCTTAACCCAAATTATTAAAAGTTTTCAAAAGTTTTATTATTTTTTCTCTTCAGGTCGAATACTTTATTTTTTATTTAACACCTGAGAAATATTTCCTTCCTACCATTATACGATCCTTACGTCATTGTGTAATTACGCCCAGATAATTCACAATACGAGCCGATGATTCCAAATACGATCTAATAATATCAAATATGATCCAATAATTCCAAATACGGTCCAATAATTCCAAATATGGTCCGATAATTCACAATACGAGCCGATAATTCCAAATACGATCTAATAATTCCAAATATGATCCAATAATTCCAAATACGGTCCAATAATTCCAAAAAACAATCCGATAACTCAACCATACGTCCACTGGGTAATAATAACAATAATCACAAGCATAGTAAGGAAATACAACCCAACCCAACCCAACCCAACCTAACCTGACCTAACCTGACCTCGTATATCACAGCGCTGCAGGTAAATTAGTGAATAATTACTCATTGAAATGTGATCAAATGTAACCCAATCCACCCTGAAAAATTTAATTAATCAGTCAAATGCGTTCTACTTACTCTAATTTTACTTGAAATATATATATATACCTATCTGATCCCCAATGTGTTCATCTATAACCTAACCTAACCTAACACATAACATAACGTAAATTACTCATATGTAAAATGAGTAGGATATTTTAGCTTCCCGAGTACGATTTATTCCCTGGAGTACAGTGTATATCTTAACCCTTTGATTACGATGAACTTAATCCCTTGAGTACGATGGCATTGTGCTTAGTGGGTTGTCATCGTACTCAAGGGTTAAGTCACTGTACTCAAGGGGTTAAATCACCGTACTCAAAGGATTAAATCACCGTACTCAGAGGGTTAAATCATCATAATCAAAGGGTTAAATCACAGGTACACAAGTATTTCAACAAAACATTCCTTGGGCACTTTCTGTTGTTTAAGATCATGTCATTAACTTACCTCTACAGGGACCCTTAGCACACAAACACATACCTAACCTGATCCAAGACACACGATCACACACACTAACTCACAAACAGACAGCACCAGCACTTCCACCTGCACCTCCACCAGCACTTCTCCACCAGCACCTCCACCAGCACCTCCACCTCCTCTCCACCAGCACCTCCACCTCCTCTCCACCAGCACTTCTACCTCCTCTCCTCACTCACCTTGTGCTTGATGCCCTCCGTGGTCAGGTTGCTGAGGGAGGGGCTCTTACGGTCCCTCCCTGGCAGCCTGGTGCGGTACCTCGACAGATCAGACTCCGAAGAGGCGTTGGGGAAAGGCTTGAGGATGTTGTTACGGGCGGCTGTGTCGAGGACGAGGGAGAAAAAAAATATGTTAGTCAAAAATGAGAGAGAGAGAGAGAGAGAAAAGAGATAAAAGACAGTTAAAACAGAGAGAGAGAGAGACAGATAAACGACAGAATGTGACAGTTACATCCAATACTTAGACAGCAATTATTACGTGATTGATTAAGAGTGAACATAAAATTAAAGATCATTTAACGAGGTCAGTGGAAAGTGTGGGGCGAGTCTGCTTTACCTACAACCTTAAATAACATCTAAGTCATTAATTAAGACAGACAGGTGTTGGAAGTAATCAGTGGCCATTACCTGTATCTTCTCCATCCGCTCGGAAATTCGATTAGAACATTTATTTGTCTACAGTTGTTTTTTTCAATTAAGAGGAGGGTGCCGAGTTAAGAGGAGGGTGCCGAGTTAAGAGGAGGGTGCCGAGTTAAGAGGAGGGTGCCGAGTTAAGAGGAGGGTGCCAAGTTAAGAGGAGGGTGCCAAGTTAAGAGGAGGGTGCCGAGTTAAGAGGAGGGTGCCGAGTTAAGAGGAGGGTGCCAAGTTAAGAGGAGGGTGCCAAGTGCCAAACTACCGCAGGAGGGAGACAATGGGCAGGGAGCTCTGTCAATAAAAGGTTTAATTACTAACAAGAGTGGCTCTCTCTCTCTCTCTCTCTCTCTCTCTCTCTCTCTCATTTCGGGACAGTATTACCATATGTATTTATTCAGGAATATATTTCAACCCCGAGATGGATGTGGTTATCGTATGTTAATCAATGGGATATATTTCATACTTTAGGACAGGTTTATCGTCTGTTTATTCCTGGGATATACTTCAGATTTGGATGGGTTTATAATCTACTTTAATTCAGGAATATATATCAAGCTTAGGTTAGGTTTATCATTTGTTTGTTTTGTCTTTTCTTTTCCTTGGGATATATTTCAAACTTCCTAGAATGGGATATAGTTCAAATTTCCTAACGTTAAAGAATTCAGTATTTTTCAGGTATGTATTCCGTAAACTTCTCCTGGATGAACCATTTGTATATAGAACACCGGAATATGAATTCATCTATTTTGCTTTTAAAATTTGTAAATATTTCATTCTTTTCCCCATTCTAAAGGTCTGGAATGTTGGAATGCTCTTTTTTATGATATTGGTCAAAAAAGATATTGGTTAAAGGAATCTCTGTATTTATTATGATGTTTTTTTTCATGAGGAGAGAAAATGTTTGTATGACGTCTGATTTCTATTAGGGGGGGGAGGAAGGGGGTATTTCCTGTCTCAAGGGGAAGAGACAATATCTCTCTCTCTCTCTCTCTCTCTCTCTCTCTCTCTCTCTCTCTCTCTCCACCTTCACAAATGCTCTATTAAGTTCACCATTACAAGAGCCATTAGTATAGGGACAATCGCCATCAATTGCAACACAAGTTTCTCTCAGTTGGTAAAAGTTTCGGTGATCCTTCGTTATTTTCCACTGACCTCGTGACCTTTAACAACAATGCCATATTAAACCTTAACAGCACAACACAAGGCTCTTAATTAATTAGTCTTTGTTTACTGGCTGTGGTAAAACTTCTATGTATAAATAAATATAGATTTTTTTTATTACTTAGTTTAATTACAATCGTTAACTAGGTAGCAAATATACAGGTGTGTTTTTTTTGTTTTATTTCCGGTCAGTAAACCCACACCTGTATTGACCTGAACAGCAGCCATTATCAACACCATCCATGAACCTGAGACTAGGTTAGATTAGGTTAGGTCACTCTTTGTAATGTTCGTAAGATAACTGTACCGAATGTTATGTTGTCTCTCTTTGTTTTGTACAGTCACAGACAAAAGTTCCTTTACATTCTCCCTCGAACGTGTGATAAAGTCAAATGAGATACTGTAGTGCCATCGAGGGGTGGTCAAGGTCAAGCAGTTCAGTGACTCGTTCCTACAAATTCAAAGTCTCGGGAGTGTAAAGGCACTTGTGCTCGTCACTGTACACCCACAACAGTAGTGAGTTTACCGATGAACACAAAACACACCTGTACTGTACACCATCAACACAAGAAGATAAATAACTACCTGGGACTAATTACCTAAGACTAATTACCTGGGACTAATTACTAGACACACATGAGGGAACTACTGTATCTGAGAGAGGGATAATCCGTGCTGCTGGGAGCTAATGTCACACCTCCCAGCTCATGCATCTCCTAGGGGGGGGGGAGGAGGGGGTATAGGGAGAGGGAAGACTGCTATTGGCTGTCATCTACACGACTCCCAAGTCACGTCACGCGTTCATGGTAACTTACTGACCAATCAAAACGCCGCAGCTCTCGTGTGTGTGTGTGTGTGTGTGTGTGTGTGTGTGTGTGTGTGTGTGTGTGTAAGATAGAAAGCTCCAGGCAGAAAGCTAAAGAAACAAACAAACAAAAACAAACAAACAAACAAGGTCTCACATTCAGCTTAGTTTTAAAGACAGAATGTAGAAAAATCTTAAAGTAAACAAAGGAAATAAACAAAAATACAATCAGCTCAAAGGTTACAAACAAACCTTAAAAGATAAACAAACAAGAGAAAAAACAACAACTGAACTATGAAAACACATCTAAGAGGATAACAGCTGTAGTGTACACGAACAGATATGTAAACAACAGCCTAATGGAAACCAGACAAACGGAACTGTAAACAAATATGAGGTGTAAACAGCGTGAGGTCTACACAGTGGCAATGGTCAAGCTCAGACCAGTAACTGACTGACCGAGGAAAAAAAACTGACTGCAGGACTAAACTGACTAAATTAACGGACTACTAAACTGACTGACTAAACTGAGAAAACTGACTGACTGAACTGACTGACTGACTGACTGACGGAGTGACTTGAGAGCGTCGTGGCAGCTTAATGGTGCTACACTATGGGGGGGGGGAGGTGTGAACACAGGCACTGGTGAACTACAGTATAATATAAACAAACACATCTGTAGTGGGGGGGCGGGGACCAGAGGGGCTGAGGGAACAGAGGGGTGAGGGGACCAGAGGGGGGTGAGGGACCAGGAGGGGGGGAGGGACCAGGAGGGGGTGAGGGACTAGAGGGGGGTGAGGGACCAGAGGGGGTGGGAATCAGAGGGGTGGAGGAACCAGAGGGGTGAGGGACCGAGGGGTGAGGGACCAGAGGGGGTGAGGACCAGGGGGAAGAGGGACCAGGAGAGGGGGAGACCGGGAGAAGTGTGAAGAGACCCTGGGGAGGGGAGAGACCAGGCAGTACGTGACATGCTACCAGGTTGGTGTTTGGGATAAAGAGGAGAGAGATCACACGAGGAAGAAGAGGAGGAAGAAAGGGATAAACAGACAAAGAGGTGCCCTGAGACATGAGGTGCCCTGAGACAACATGAGGTGCCCTGAGACAACATGAGGGGCCCTGAGACAACATGAGGTGCCCTGAGACAACATGAGGTGCCCTGAGACAACACCCTCACACTTGTATGGACCAAACCCTATCAACACTAGTCCTACAGTGACGTCACCAACACTATAAATATCTAAGAAACTACAAAAAATATTCTTTAATAATCTGATAAATAAAAAAAAAACATAATTAATTTTACTTTATAATCTTTTTGAGTATTTTAATTTCCTCCCCAAGTCGATAATCGTAAACTTTAACATTTACGACAAACTTTTTAAACCGGTGACGTAAACCTCCCTTTACTGAACGACATTCCTTAGGGGGCAGTGAAACTTCAGCCTAGACCACCTTCCCTCGCTCATACGTCACTGTCTAACGTTAAGTTTTACCACAAAAACCAAAAACCTTCAATAAAGTGAAATACTGATGCAACGGAGAGAGAGAGAGAGAGAGAGAGAGAGAGAGAGAGAGAGAGAGAGAGAGAGAGAGAGAGAGAGAGAGGTGGGTGGGCAGTAATGTGGATGAAGACAGGGACGAATGTCGGGGTTGAATTTGCAGTGTCTGCAAGCAAATATATATCGTTCACCTCTGTTGTACCTGAGAGAGAGATGATAACATGAGTGGATGGTCGGTATGGTGGGGGAGGTAAGTATGGGTGGGTGCTTAGTGGCATGGATGGTAGGAGGCAGTATGGTAATGGTGTGGTAGGAGATAATAGACACCATGAATCTATTGTAGTAGAGAGGAGAGAGAGAGAGAGAGAGAGAGAGAGAGAGAGAGAGAGAGAGAGAGAGAGAGAGACTCGGCAGTTTCTCCCCATAAACTACAAATTCCTCACAGGTCAAAGGTCACGCATGTCGAAGGTGAATGATTAATGACACGCTGATGGAGTGATTAGCACGGGTCTACAGGTCACAAAAGTTCCCACAATACCACACAAGGTCACACAAGGTCACACAAGGTCACACAAGGCCACATAAGATCACAAAGGCCACAGCAATTAAATATTACTACTCATAGCACAATATAGTCAACAACACAGCACGGGAGACCTGACCTGACCTGACTCCTAGTGTGAACCTGACCTATTTTCTCCTCGTGAAGAGAAACGGAGAGGAGGAGGAGGAGGCGGAAAAGATTGAGGACCGGGAAGATACAGGGGAGGGGAGGGGGGAGGAGGAGGAGAAGAAAGGAGGAGGAAGAGAGGAGAAGGGAGGAAGAGGAGAAAGAGGAGGAGGAGGAGGAGGAGAAAAAGATTGGCGACTGGAAGGTAAAGAGGAGGAAGATATATAAGGGACGAAAGAGGAGGAGACGGAGAAGCGGGAAGAAGATAAAGAGGAGGAGTGAGATGAAAAAAGAAAAAAGAGGAAGACAGAAGGGAAGAGGAGAAGAGGAAGAAAAGAGGGGAGAGGAGAAGAGGAAGAAAAGAGGGGAGAGGAGAAGAGGAAGAAAAGAGGGAAGAAGAGAAGAGGAAAAATGGAGGGAAGAGGAGGAGAAGAGAAGAGGATAAAGGGAGGGAAGAGGAGAAGAGGAAGAACGGAGGGAAGAGGAGAAGAGGAAGAAAGGAGAGAAGAGGAGAAGAGGAAGAAAGGAGAGAAGAGGAGAAGAGGAATCACCACCATCCCTGCCACCTCCCTATCACCTCAACTCCTAAGATACTACTCACCCCCCTGGCCTCTCACACTACCACTACCTCACCACCATCCCCCGGTACCTCAAGGTTTGATTATATATTCTGGAGGCAAAGTCCTTGGGAGAGAGAGAGAGAGAGAGAGAGAGAGAGAGAGAGAGAGAGAGAGAGAGAGAGAGAGAGAGAGAGAAGCCACACATGGGTTTACCTGGATCAAGGTTGCCGAAGGTGTGAGGTCTGTGTTTACTGCCGCTCAGGCCAGGCTGGGAGGGGTCGCTGGGATACACTGCAAGGATACAACATACAACAACCGATACAACATACAACAACCGATACAACATACAACAGCATACAACAGTACCAAGAGTAAAAAAAAACAAAAGAGGAGGGGGTATTAGAATTAGAGATAGAGAGAAAGAAAGATAGAGAGACAATCATTAAAGACTATATAACAACATCAAAGGTCAACTAATTCTAAGAGGCTGGGTAGTTATCACGGGCTGACTCTTGTGGTTCGGACTTTCTATATAATCAAATTTATTACATAGATATAAAATAATCTATCTCACATAGGAGCTAACAAACATAAAACAACTATTTTCTTATATATTAACCAACTCAAATAGTATAGTCTATATTTCTCATTATCCATTAACAGAGATAAATGAGCAATAAACTACCTTACTATTAAATAACCACAACAACATTATCAATCACAATAAACTACCTTACTATTAAATAACCACAACAACATGATCAATCACAATAAACTACCTTACTATTAAATAACCACAACAACATTATCAATCACAATTCACTAAAATACCATAAGAAAGTCAAAACAAGTCAAGTCAGTCCGCTGAACATCACACGCAAGATATATGAAAGAGATTATATTTCTTTCTTAACTAATTACTTGTAAACAGGAGATAGGGAGGTTAAATAGGAGATAGGGAGGTTAAATAGGAGATAGGGAGGTTAAATAGGAGATAGGGAGGTTAAATAGGAGATAGGGAGATTAAATAGGAGATAGGGAGGTTAAATAGGAGATAGGGAGGTTAAATAGAGATAGGGAGGTTAAATAGGAGATAGGGAGGTTAAATAGGAGATAGGGAGGTTAAATAGGAGATAGGGAGATTAAATAGGAGATAGGGAGACAGACTAACAGACAAACGGAGCAATCAATGTACACTTACAAGCTTTGCCATACATACCCACTTGTTACTTCAAGCACGGAAGAAGGGGAGGGGGGATGATGGGGAGAGTTAACTTACAACATTTGGGGGGTGGTGGGGCAGGGTATATAAGGGGTTAAAATAAATGGGGAGGGGAGGGGTTAACAAATTGGGAGGGTAGGGGAGAGAATTATGGGTTTGTGGGTCTACGGTGGTCTATTGACAAAGTGGGCGAGGAGAAGGACGACGAGGGGGAGGGGACGAGGGGAAGGGGAAGAGAGAAAGGGGATGAGGGGAAGGGGATGAGGGAAGGGGACGAAGGACGGAGGAGAGGGAAGAGAGGAAAGGGATGAGGGGAAGGGGACGAGAGGGAAGGGGACGAAGGGGACGGGGACGAGAGGGAAGGGGACGAAGGGGACAAATGGAGGAGAGGTATGAGCGAGGGAAGGGGGACAAGACAAAGGGAAGGAAAGGGGAAGTGTGTACTAGAGAGGAGAGGAGAGGCAAGAGGAAGGAGGAAGGAAAGGAGGAGGTGGAGGCTTTCATTTTTCTCTATGGAGGAGCAGGAGGGGAAGGTAGAGGAGGAGGAGGAGAGGAAGGAGGAGGAGGAGGAGAGGAAGGAGGAAGAGGAGGAGGCAAGCCAGACTGAGGGGGGGGAAAGTTGAGTGTCGTTTACTTTCATTCAGTTGAGGGGAGAAACGGCCGCTAGGTGAAGCAAGGGAGGAGAACAATCTTACACTGTGCACGACAACTCTGACAGTGTAAGACATAAGACACAACTTACACTGTATCATCATTATACACTGTGACTGTATAAAACAATACTGTATCAACTTATTTTTTTAGACAAGAGAGAAAAGATATACAATTCACTCTATGAGAACAAGAGATTAATCTGGCCTACAATGATATACATATATATTTAGATCTTCAAATAGTAAATCAATTCTTGTCTCAAACTGCATTTACCATCAGGTCATAAAATTAACTATAATGAAAGGTATAATTAATTAGATCAGAAGGGATGACTCATTGAAATAAAGTCATAAAGGCATAGAAAAAATATACCTATCTGGATATATGATACATTTCTTGAGGAGAATAAATACCTGTACAGTACAATGACCAAATTACTATATTATGTCAAGTAGGAAAAATGTACTGGCAGGAAGGACAGTATTGAGCTGGAGGGTGTACAGTATGTTCGTGTGTGTGTGTCTGTGTGTGTGTGTGTGTGTGTGTGTGTGTGTGTGTGTGTGTGTGTGTGTGTGTGCTACTCAATGCACTTACAACAAGGGAATATATAAGCTCCACTGGCGGGAATAAAATAAATGTAAATTATTTGAGTCATTCACAGGTAAGTAACAAGTAAGTCTGTTTAACATGAATAATGAATCTGAATAAAATCTTTAAAGTAGAATAAATAAATACATATTTTCCCTTCAATCGTTGTCATTCATTCATTCACTTCTACTGTAAATGAATGAATGACAATAATTACTGTTGTTAGCCATAAAAATTTTGATGTTATTAAAGCTCTGAATAATAATGAACAGGTGAGGAGTATTAGAACAAAGCCATCAAGGTGTGTCTTTAACGAGGTGTTGTAGCCACTTAGAGATTAATTAACACCTAAACAACCCTCTATGCTGCCCCCGTGTGTAGCGTTCCTATAAGACCAAACAAGTGATATGTATATAATTTAAAAACACTAAATACAAACCCTGACGATCCTGTTACAGCATTTATAATTTTACCAACAATACTTAGATAAAATTATATGGTTTCGAAATACAGGTAAGATAATGTAATTCCCTGAATCACCTTCTTTAATGTGAAAAAAAATATATAACAGGGTTTTTATCGGTATACTGTATAACTGAATAAAAAAATGGCGGCTATATTTAGAGCCACAAGGGACAACTCCAGAGATTCACTTGATGACAAATCAACAATATTTTTTTTTTCAGAATCATTTCAATTGAACTTAAAACTACACATTTTATAATCATTATCCACAAACATCAAAATATTATACCAGAATTAAAAAAAAAAACGGTACCATCATCTGCGTTCATTGTTGCTTCTGTCATAAGTGGGCCTGTAGAGGCTCTTAAGTGGCGTCTAAGGAGAATAAATAGTACTCGAGTGTGCTGATGTGGTGGTGCAGCCAAGACACTTACGGAGTGGCTATAGTTAAAGGTGTGTCAAGGAAGAAGGGAAGGGGAGGAGGGATGTTCAGCCATGTAAGTACCACTCAAAAAACAGTGCTTAAAATGTAGAGACAAATGTATACACACACAAAAAAAATAACTAGAATCATATAAGCAAATAACTAGAACTAAATATGTCTTAATCTTAGACAGTCTACAGTCAAAATCAAGCTACTCTGAGGACGCTAAGTGTATGGCTGACTAGACTGAGCTAAGTCACAAGAACCTATGGCTAGTCTGCATCAAAGCCACAGTCTGCCACACTAAAATATTACGTACGACTGTTTAGCGAGATTGACGATTCGCTTGCTTGATCTTCCAAACTTTCTTCTGCAAAAAAGATGATTTAAAAAGTAGCAGTGACAGCAGAGAGACAAAACTACAGCCAAAAACATGATGAAAAAAAAGCCTACAGTAAGAGAGTTATAATAAGCCACAGAAGCACCATATAAAGTATTGGAATTGAAGGAAAAATGGACAAATTCCTCAATATTTACATCATCTTAAAACACTGAAAAAAAACAAAGGAACATCATACCAAAAGCATCAGTGAGGAACATTGGGCCAAACAGACTACAGAAAAACATACATCTTTTGTTTATAAGCCCCAAAAAACACCAAACAAAAATCTAAAAACATCTTGGACTCAAAAATTATTCGGAAAAAGTCACCCCAAAGGAGGAATACACTATCAAGTACAGTAAGGTTGGTGCAGAAACTGGCTTTAAAACTACAGCATTATATTATTATTATTCTTTTAAGGTAAGGGAAATTACAACAAAAAACTGGCTTTGTTTACCCAAGGAGGTCACAGCTAAACACGGACAAACACAGCAACACAAGAGGGTGGGGTGGTGGGCGCTTAGACACACCCGGGGGAGCCACTAAAGGGAATTTATTCATAGGTTGAGCATCAGAGGTGACAAAAAATAAAGAGTTTGTTTCGTAAGTTTCTATGATCTGGAAGAAGATAAGAATTGGACCTGAGAAATACATTTTTAGCTGAAAGAGAGAGAGAGAGAGAGAGAGAGAGAGAGAGAGAGTAAAAGAAGTAAATAAAGCGAGAGAAAAAAAGAAAGAAGGGGGAAAGAAGAATCTAGTAAATGGAGAGAGAGAGAGAGAGAGAGATAAACCTGAACACACGTACTTGTTGAGATGGTAGCAGAGCGAGAGGGGAACTCCCTGCCGGAGGGCTGAGAGACGCGGTGGTGGCTGATGGCGTCTAGGGAGGTGGCCGGACGCATGGACGACCTGCTCCGCCCGGACTCCTCTGCAAAGGACCCCATCTGGAGGAGGAGGAGGAAGGGTTAAAAGGAGATTCTTGTGACGATTCAACTTTCCTGTGTGTGTGTGTGTGTGTGTGTGTATACAGACATTTTTTATTGAGAAAATCATAATATAGACGATTATTTCATATTTCTTCGTTTATGCAGATTAAAAAGAATCATTTGTCATCTTTTTTTTGACTGAATGTATTTTTTTTATGAGAAAGGAATAATGATATACAAGAATAACAATAAGGGCGAGAGATGAGCTCCGTAAATTCCAGCATTAATGAGGAATTTGTCGAAGGGCGAGTATCAAGAATTTAAAATAAGACACAGACAGACAGAGGAAATAAACCAGACGGAGGCTCTCTCTTCCCTCTGTGCTGAACCAACTGACTTTATCAAACACCCAAACTCACCAACTCCTTCAAGGCCACTTTAAATTATCCTAATCCACCTACGTAAACCGACCCGTGACCGTGTGACTCTGCCCACTACAGGAAGGTCCTCAGCAAGTGATGTCAGTGTCTGTTACTCTCTATGGGGTGGTTAGGTTAGGTTAGGGGTGTTGTGATGACCTGAGTGGACAGCTGCCATAGATCATCTTCTAATTACGCTTGGTATTATCAAAGGTGAGCTCAGGAAGTTACATAACCTCTTGAGTACGATGCCATAACCACTTGAGTACGATGCCATAACCTCTTGAGTACGATGCCATAACCACTTGAGTACGATGCCATAACCACTTGAGTACAATGTCATCGTAAATTCAAAATGGTTAAAACAACTTACTCAAAGCCAAGCAAACCATCGTACTCAAAGGTTTTAAATCATCGTACTCAAGAATCTATCACCTGGTTAACTCACTGTACTCAATGAGTTTAAAAAAAAAACCACAATCTCCTCTCCTACTCAATAAACACCTCAACACCTTCACCAATGACACACTACCTCCCGTCTCCTGCCTACAAAATCCTAAACCTCCCACACGACTTATGACCACTTCTCTACGTGACAGCTGCTACCTAAAGGCTCCCACGAAGGCTCTGGGCGGGAAGTCACACTACAGTTTCTCAAGTCGTGGGCTGTAAAGGAGGCAGTTTAGGGGGTGGGGGGTGAGGGGGGGGTTGAACGGCGGAAACTGACCCTATAGAATGATGAGTGAGAGAGACCAGTGGAGGGACGATAAAATGGACACTGCTGCTCGCTCTCTCTCTCTCTCTCTCTCTCTCTCTCTCTCTCGCTCTCTCTCTCTCTCAGTTGCAATATTTCTATCTTCTGTTTCATACATGTCTTTACAAATCTCTATCAAATCTTCAAATACATAGCTATACACATACGTCTATAGCTATTCACTATAGAGAAGCCTTATACACTATAGAGAAGCCTTATACACTATAGAGAAGCCTTATACACTATAGAGAAGCCTTATACACTAGAGAGAAGCCTTATACACTATAGAGAAGCCTTATACACTAGAGAGAAGCCTTATAGACTAGAGAGAAGCCTTATACACTAGAGAAAAGCCTTATACACTAGAGAGAAGCCTTATACACTATAGACGAGCATTATACACTATAAAGGAGAGGCCTGGGGCTGATCACTCTACAAGGGCTACTGGTCAGACCATAACTCCGCCACGAGGGTCATTAAGCACTCGAGCTCATCCTGGGTAAAAAAATGTTCCAAGGAAATTCTAAAAATAAAATATGATAAAAATGATAACAGAGACAATGACTATATATTAAATTCTTGTAATAATCTTGAGGAAATAATTGGAATTGTCTCTCTCGTTATCTCTCTGTCTCTCTCTTGATATATCTCTCTCCCGCTGCTATCGCTATCTTACGCTATTGCCCTCTCACATTATCTCCCTCTCACAATCTCTCTTATTCTCACTCTCACTGGGTTGGGTTAAGTTGGGTTGAATTAGGTTGGGTCGGTTTAATTTGGATTGGGATGGGTTGGGTTAATTTGGATTAGGTCAGGTCAGGTCAGGTCGGGTCATGACGAACCAGTGAGGCATTTAACCCGAGGCACTTACCTTCTCAGAGGCCTTAGAGGTAGTAGTAGCGACGGAGTCCTTGCGTGAGACAGCCGAGTCCTTCCTCTTCCAGATGGGCAGGGACGTCTTGCGATCATCTAGGAAAGCCTGGAGGGAAGGACGACCCACGTGGAGGGCGTCGAAGGTGTGCTGCCGAGGGGAGAGTCTTGGTGAGATGACAGACAGATAAAGACTGGCCAGCAGACAGACGGATATAGACAAGACAGATAGACAGATATAGACAGACACAGTTTCCGTCAAAAGTAATCATCCACTCCACCACCTAACCCCCCTGCGCCTGGCCGGGTCCTTTCTGCACGATAAGTCACGTGGGGTGGAGAGAGGGGAGTGGTCGATTTGGGGGAGGGTCGTTTGTTGGGGGGGTGTTGGGAGGGGTGTTAGGGGGTGGAGGGTGTGGGGGTGGAGCGGTGGGGTGGGGCGGTGTGGGGGGTGGGGGTGTGTGGGGTGGGGGGTGTGTGGGCGGGCGGTGTGTGTGGGGGGTAAGAAATGCCCTGAGAGAGAGAGAGAGAGAGAGAGAGAGAGAGAGAGAGAGAGAGAGAGAGAGAGAGAGAGAGAGAGGCTTGGCAATATTAGCAGTATGTGAATTTAGTGCTTTGTGAGGAAAGAGAAACTTGTTTCATTTGATGGAGAGGAACATTACCGTACTTTATAAAGCAGTATACTGAACACTCCTTTATACCCTCCCGCCCACACACACACACACACACACACACACACACACACGCGCGCGCGCGCGCGCGCACACACACAACCAACCTTTCTATCACTAGCAGTAGACACGACGAGCGTAGCGGCAGTGGCACCAGAAGCAGCAGTAGTAACAGCAGAAGGCTCGGCAGTAGGAACAGCAGAAGAACTAGTAGGTAAGGTGCCCGCTCCTGCTGCTGGGATGACGCCGGTGGACTTACGAGGAGAGGCGGCGGCCCCTGGAGCACCTTCGGCAGTAATAGTAACGTGGGAAGCGTTGGTGGGCGTAGAGTTGAGGAGGGCAGCGGAGGAGCCGAGCAAAGGGTCCCGCTGGTCGCTGCTGTCATCACGCCCTCTGCAAGGACACGTGGACGTTACACCTGATCACCTTCACTAGTAACAGGTAAAGACACTTGATATAGAGTTAACCCACTGAAGACTATGGAGTTAAACCATCATCAGTCTGTAAGTAAACCATTATAAGTTAAACCATCGTCCTCAAAGGGTTAAATCACCATCTTCAAAGGGTTAAACCACCATCCTCTCCGGGCTAAATCACCACCATCCTCAAAGGGTTAAACCATCTAGCAGCATCAGGTATAAGGACCAGACAACCTTTACCTGATCTAATGAACACACTTCATATTCTTTTTCTTAAATTTCGTAAGGTAAGGTAAGGTAAGGTGAGGTAAAGTGAGGTAGGGTAAAGTGAGGTGAGGTGAAGTAAGGTAAGGTGAGGTAAAGTGAGGTGAGGTAAGGTAAAGTGAGGTAAGGTGAGGTGAGGTAAAGTGAGGTAAAGTGAGGTAAGGTGAGGTAAAGTGAGGTAAGGTAAGATGAGGTGAGGTAAAGTGAGGTAAGGTGAGGTAAAGTGAGGTAAGGTAAGATGAGGTGAGGTAAGGTAATGGTGAAGTATAACATCTCTCGTCACACACCAAACATCTATACACACGGTAAACTTAAAGGAGATATTACTAACGCTTTATACAGTTAATTTAATCCAAGTAAACTATTTCTTTTCTGAACTATTTCTGTCTAAAAGAAAATTTAACTCAATAAACAGTGTAGTTTATATTAATACTGGTTATAAGGGAGAGTTACTCATATACTTCCTTGTAAGACCAAAAAAGACCAAGAGACAAACCTTTGAAGTCAGGCACAGGGGCGGCCCGGTCACGCAATCTGGGTTCTCTAACGTCCTGAGTGTTACTGGCCGAGAATGAGGAGTGAGGCCACGAGATGGAGCAGGTGACGGAGACAGGGTATGGCTGACGAGGTAGTTGGGTAGTTTGCAGCAGTGTTCAAACGCGACGAACTGTACGCTTAAAGATGAGGGTGTCAAACGTGTGTGTGTGTGTGTTATTAAACAAGAATTTAGCTCTAAAAGTAAACTTATTGATGTTCTGTGTGTTTACGTGTTTTTAATTCAAATATTTCACACGTTCAGGTTTCAACACACACATTCATAGTTAACCTCTCCCCACCACTCTCCCTTGACACACACACCATTAGGCAAATTAGCCAAGATCCTCAGGAGATATTCTTAGAACGTTGTTAGTAATCCAATTTCGTGAAGCTTTTATGGCCTTTTAATTAAGTAGGAGGAGTAATTAGCATATTGTAGCCCCCTTTACCACCCCCGGGGGCTATCAAGGCTACTGCTAATCCCTCTCTCGTCCATATATCTGGCCCGATGAGGTGATTAGATTTCGCTACAGGTCGAAGCGGGTCTTTTAATGGCGATTTATAACACGATCCAAGTGAGAGAGATGCCAAGGTCGAGTCTCACTTGTCTACCCGAGGGCGAGTGAGTAATGAGCTAACACTTGTCCAAAGTTTAAGAGACAGATAGAGAGATGTGGCCAAGTCCTCCCTCCATAACACGGAGAACTCGAGGCTGTGTGGGTGGTGGCTCCTGCCCCTGTTTACTCTGTGTGGTTCAAAAAATCATTTCACACGAGTGGGTTAACCAGTCAGCCCCAGTGTTGACCTGACGTGCGACCCCCTCCCCCCACACTCCTCCCATCCACTCACACACTTCTACTATATTCCCACCCTCATCCCATACCCACATCCTATTGCTATACTCCTACCCTCCTCCCACACTCCCAATTATTAAAAAAAAAAAAAATCCTCCCCATCCTACACCCAGACTCCCATTCACCTCGCCTGCTATACTCCCACCCTATTCCCCCCACACTCCCACCCTTCCTCCTCCTCCCATCCTCTTACACCCTGGTCGTAATAATTAGGTTAGGTTAACTTGTCGGTAGTTTAGTATAGTTAAGTATCCCCCAAGTCGTTAATGGCCTCCAGACACCACACAGTTCTCATCCACTATATGGATTGGTTTATGTCATCTCATCTGAGTGTAATGGTAATAACGTTGAAATACAGCATCCAGGGTCGTCCAGTGTCGTCCAGGGTCGTCCAGTGTCATTCAAGGTTGTTCAGAGTCGTCCAGATCCGCCACCGCAGCAAAAGTTTGACCCAATTTATGAGACAAAGAACATGGTGGCGTCCTCACAATGGTGGACAAAATTAGCTCCCCTGGTGTGTGTGTGTGTGTGAGAGAGGAACAGCTGGACGACATCAATAGGTTTGCACTAGGCTGTGTGTGATTCCCTCCCCTCTCCCTCAGTCACCACCTCCCTCCCTTATCATTTACCCCCCCCTCCCCTCCCCTTACACGTTTCCCCCTTACTTCCTCTCCCCTTAATAACTTAACCTCTCGAAGCTGACAATACCACCTGACGCCACGATAAACTGGATTTAAATAAAAGCAAAAAGGCAAAACAATAAAAATCTGAGCCTGACGTCCATAAATAAACACAAACGCCGTCAGGTGAACAAATGGTCCCTGAAACTCACTACAATTATAAGTTTTGTTCTAATATTAACCTCTAGTGACGACGATTATTTTTAGTTAGCCATCAGCACACCTCATCATTTTCTTTATCAGTAACCTTTAAATCACAGTGGCCATTATATAAATTAAGTTATACACCTAATAAATCCTCTATGTCACTCAGAACTCCTTAAAAAAAATGCTAAGATATGATTATTTTTCCTCTAAACTTGTAACTCAATTAATCACAGTCTTATCAGTATCTCAGTAGCAAACCCTAACCCCCATTTCCTTTTCCCCAGACAACAACAAAAAATGGTGCCTTTTAACAATAAATACTACATACAGCATCAAATTCTCCCTCAAAATATAAACATTGAATTAAAACCGCATACAGAGACCAGGCCCAGTATAACTTCATCATACCGACCAACATCTCATGAAAGCAGGTCACACCAACCCACCTCCCGTCTTCTTTATCCCAAGCACCACTAAATCACGGAGAGGGAACTGTCCTATTTCTCACCGTCAGGACCATCACCACCACCACCACCACCACTACCTTCCTCGCTTTTGCCTCTCCCGGAACGCCAGGCAATGTTCCAAGATTTGCTGAGATGGATTTTCTTCATTATCTGCCGTTAGAGTGAAGGACCGGTGTGATTATGTCGCCAGAGACAGACTCACAAAGTAGCCAACACTCCCGCCCCCAATGAGAAATTTTTGTGACTTCTCTGACCCTTTTAAATACGAGGGTGGGGTCAGGAGGAGGGGGTAGCTATGTTGGGTATATACGTGGGGAAGCAAGAGGAGGGTGTATAGATGGTGAGGGAAAGGAGAGACCTATAAGTGAGGTATATACATGGTAGAGAGTCTAGAGGGGAACACAAGATAAAAGTGAGTTTAATTAAGTCTCCCATCAAGAGTAAAACAGAAAACGGATTCTCAACACACACACACACACACACACACCAGTATAAACCTTCCCTTCCTCCCCCCGTTATCATTAATTATTACTATTACATCCAATGATCACCTGTCATCTCTCTCCATCTCCTCCTTTCTCTCCATCTCCCTCATTCCCTTTCATCATTTTATCAACCATGTCCCCCCCCTCTCTCTCTCTCTCCCCTTGGCTCATTTATTTGCCAAATTTCTCTTATTCTCCGTTTCCTATTTTTTCTGTTATTCTTGATTCTTTCTTTTCTGTTTATTGTTTGTTTTTTATTTGTTATTCGTGAATTTCTCTCTCTCTAACTCTCTTTTCTGTTAGTCTTCTTCTTATCCCTATTCTTCTTCTTCTTATTATTATTCCCCGTTTGACAGCTCTTTCTTTGAATACTTTTCTTTCCTATTATACCTTCTTTCTCAATTCCTTTTTGTCTTTCCCTTCCTCTTAACCACATTCTCTTCCCTCCTTCCTTCCTTGTCACCCACCACCCCCACTCTCCCATTTCCCTCCGTTAATGCACCTTCCTTCCCTCCTTCCTTCCTTCCTTCCTTCCTTCCTTCCTTCCTTCCTTGTCACCCATCACCCCCACTCTCCCATTTCCTCCGTTAATGCACCTTCCTTCCTTCCTTCCTTGCTTCCTTCCTTGTCACCCATCACCCCCACTCTCCCATTTCCCTCCGTTAATGCACCTACCTACCTTCCTTCCTTCCTTCCTTCCTTCCTTCCTTCCTTCCTTCCTTCCATCAACACGACATGAATCCACTCATGCGCCAACACCAAGTCTTGCTACTCAACGAATCATATGCCACAATAGGGACTCCACCTCCTCATGTTATTTCCATTTAAGAACGTCTGAACATTTCTCCTGCCATGACCGTTCTTTCCTCAGTCAATGTGTCTTTCCTCAAATCGTCAAACGTTCTAGATACACGACAAAAACATTTATTTGTTTCCTTTAAATTATTCCCTACACGTAAACAAGTATGTGTCCCTCTTGTAAAACGTTCCGAACTCATAAGAAACGTTCGTGATCTGTGGTCTAACGTTCGTAATTTGTGGTTTAAAGTTAGTAATATGTGGTCTAACGTTCGTAATCTGTGGTCTAACGTTCGTAATCTGTGGTCTAACGTTCGTAATCTGTGGTCTAACGTTCGTAATACAGCATGTGGTCTAACGTTCGTAATCTGTGGTCTAACGTTCATAATCTGTGGTCTAACGTTCGTAATCTGTGGTCTAACGTTCGTAATCTGTGGTCTAACGTTCGTAATCTGTGGTCTAACGTTCATAATATGTGGTCTAACGTTCGTAATCTGTGGTCTAACGTTCGTAATCTGTAGTCTAACGTTCGTAATCTGTAGTCTAACGTTCGTAATCTGTGGTCTAACGTTCGTAATCTGTGGTCTAACGTTCATAATCTATGGTCTAACGTTCGTAATCTGTGGTCCAAGGCTTCATCTACTCTTCTGTACACCGTTCGTATTCCTCTGCTACCTTCATCGTCTCTTTGTAACACTAGACCGACTGCAAACATCAGGTCTCGGCCTCTTAAACATCGCTTAGTTTATTCTACAACGTTTTTGTTCCCTCCCTCTGTGTGTAGGGTTTGTGTTTTCTTTCTGTACTTAATAAACGTTTCTCCTTGTTGTTGTTCTTCTTCTTGTTCCTACAGCCTTTGTTCAACGTTTCTTTTCTCTATGCATGACTTTTTAAAATGAGTAAACGTTTGTCTTTGCTCTTCTTCTTCTGCCTACAACCACTATGCAAGGTTTCTCTCTCTCATAAGTCATGGCTCAGCTCCTCTCTTCCGTCTCTGTCAAGTCTCTAAGTCGTCCGCCTCCTCTACTCTCAGTCCCAGTAAAAATCCTCTCTTACCTGCTGGAGTGAATCTTACTTGCTGGATTAGTTGTCTGACCTGCTGGAGTGATTGTCTTAACTGCTGGAGTGAATTTTACCAGCTGGAGTGATCGTCTTAACTGCGGGAGTGAGTCTTACCAGGTGGAGTGATCGTCTTAACTGCGGGAGTGAGTCTTACCAGGTGGAGTGGTTGTCTTACCTGTTGGAGTGAGTCTTACCTGGTGGAATGGGCGTTGTCCTCGTCTTCCTCCTGGGGCTCGTCAGCAGGTTCGTCGGGGATGGGTTCCATACGCGCCCCGGGGGACGTGGACGGACCCGAGGCTGGAGACTTACCGCGGCGGAGGGAACCCATACGAAAGGACTGCCGGAACGACGCCCTGGCCCGGTTGACTGTAGATAGGAGGAGAGAGAGAGAGACAAGTTACCGATGATGGTAGTGGGAAAGGTGGATAAGTGATGATTGGAACAGATTATTGGTAGTTAGATGGAAGGGTAGTTTGAAGGATGGAAAAGATGATGGTTAAAGGATAAGAGAGTTGTGCTTAGAAGGATGGAAGACTGAAGGTTTAGAAGGAGGGGAGCAAAAATTATCATCATTCATCACTACAAATAAATTTCTTCCTTGAAAAAAAAAAAGTTTGGGCAGGAAAATAAACCACCCACTCCATACCTCCCCAATATCCCCACCCACATACACCCCCATACATCCCCACCCACCACCCCCATATCATCCCCACCCACCACTCCCTTAATCTCTCCCCACTCCACCCACCCACCCACCCACCCACTTACACTACACACCCACCCCACCCCCCCCCAAAAAAAAACAGCAATACAAACGCATCATTTCTACATCTCCGCTTGATCGTGGCATTTCCAGGTACCGTTCACTATAGAAAGGTCATTAAAGGCCAGACACAGCCCCCACACACGAGGCCTTAATGCAGCCTCGTGCGACACACCAAGTACCACCACAAGTGTATTAGTAACTCAGACCTCATCGTGTTTACCTGAGTTATTTGCAGACTGGCACAAACACACACATCTAGACACAAACACACACATATAGACACACACACACACACATATAGACACAAACACACACATATAGACACAAACACAAGCACACATACACACACACACACACACATATAGACACAAACACAAGCACACATACACACACACACACACACATATAATAAATAACGGTTGTCCCTCGTGTACGGGGCTGTTTAAGGTGTATAAGCTGTCGCCAACACAACAACCACACCCTATGTTAACGAGCTGCATGACCCAGTGTCAAGGAATAGTCCGAGAAGACCGGACAACTCGCCAACTGCACTGGCTAACCATTACCCCAGAACACGATCCACAAATAAATTAACATCCAGGTTCCCAATTACTGCTGGGAACACAAACACAAACACAAACAGACAAAGAGAATCAGCCGGACACAAAGACTAACAAGCAGACAGATGGCAGGATGGTGAAGACATACACAGAAGGTCCTTAGAGATCTGGTGGTCCCTGAAGCATTCTCGTGGCAGTCTTATGGTTAATTGGAAGGGGAAACACACACACACACACACACACACACACACACAAGAAAATGTTCCAGGAAGTCTGTGTGTGTCTCTCTCCCTCTCTTTACTCTCCCTCCGCCTCAACATTTGTCTTCCTCCTCTCATCGTCCACGCCAGACCCTCTTCAATACTTAATTCCTTCGTCTTACCCAATTGTCAGAGCACACACTCTCTCTCTCTCTCTCTCTTCGTATTTTTCTTTCACTCACACACATACGTACACACTGTCTCTCTCTCACACACAGACACACACACATGACTGGGTAGCAACAGGTGGAAGGAGAGCGAGTGGGGAGGAGAAGGAGGGAGGGTGAGAGCAGGTTTGGGTCCGGAGAGAGGGAAGAGGGAGAAGACATGCTACCAACATCATACGTGGTAGTGGTGGTGGTTGTTATGGTGATGTTTGTGATATGTGTTGGTTGTGATGGTGGTGATGGGTGGTGGTGGTGGTGATGGTGGTGGTGGTGGTGGTGATGGTGGTGGTGGTGGTGGTGGTGGTGATGGTAGTGGTGGTGGTTGGGTGGTGATGTTGGTGGTGGTGATGTTGGTGATAGTGGTGGTGGTGGTAGTGTGTAGTGGTGGTGGTGGGTGGTGGTGGTGATGTTGTGTGTTAGTGGTGGTGGTGATGGTGGTGATGATGGTGGTAGTGATGTGGTGGTGGTGGTGGGTGGTGGTGGTGATGGTGGTGGTGGTGGTGGTGGTGGTGGTGGTGATGGTGATGGTGGTGATAGTGGTGGTAGTGGTGGTGGTATGTTGTGGTGTTAGTGGTGGTGGTGTGCATGTTCCAGTCCTAACCAACTTAACCTAATCTAAACATTAAAAAGAGAGACTCAGTCCTAAAAAAAAGCTAAATATAAAGAATGAAACAAAGAGGAAGAGAGACAAAGAGACAAAGAACTGAGTAAAAGACAGAATCCCCAACACAGAGAGAGAGAGAGAGACCTGACACCACAGTCAGCTGAACACAGTAGAGGGGGAAGGCAGTATCTAAGAAGGACAGTGCCACTTTACTCAATGGTTCCGAGAAGAAAAGGAAAGTTCCCTGCGTTATATGGCTACAAAGTGGGTGGCCTCATGCACAATATGGCTGCAAAGTGGGTGGCCCCTACACACACATGGCTGCAAAGTGGTGGCCCATACACACAATATGGCTACAAAGTGGGTGGCCTCACACATGGCTGCAAAGTGGGTGGCCTCATGCACAATATGGCTGCAAAGTGGTGGCCTCATACACAATATGGCTACAAAGTGGGTGGCCTCATGCACATATGGCTGCAAAGTGGGTGGCCTCATGCACAATATGGCTGCAAAGTGTGGCCCCATAACAATATGGCTATATCATTCAAATTTTATACTAGTTTGAATGTTAAGCAGATTATTTTCTAAACATAATGGCTGTGTGCTGGGAGGGTGTGGGGTGTGTGGCGTGGGGGTGGGGGTGTGTGGGGGCTTTAGGGGTAGAGGGGGTGGGCAGGTGCAGAGGTGTGTGATGTGGGAAATGTGGAGGAGGTGTGGGGATGGAGGAGGTGTGGGGGATGGGGGAGGTGTGGGGGGATGTGGAGGACGTGTGGGGGATGTGGAGGTGGTGTGGGGGATGTGGAGGAGGTGTGGGGGATGTGGGGGTTGTGGGGGTGAGGGTACAGGGAGTAGTTCCATACGCCCACTCGACCGAGGTGATCATAATAACGAAAGGGCGACAATATCTGGCTAATTGGTTGTTTAGTTATGACCCGACAGGTGAGCTGGCCCGACAGGTGAGTTGGCCCGACAGGTGAGTTGGCCCGACAGGTGAGTTGGCCAGTGGTGAAGGATTAATTTATTATGTAATGAGGTTAATTAAGCCAGATTCAATCACGTTAAGTTTGTTGAGATATGACAGGATCAGTTGGATTACTTTGACAAGGAGTGGTGAAGTGTGTGTAGTGGTGAAGTGTGTGGAGTGGTGAAGTGTGTGGAGGGGTGAAGTGTGTGGAGTGGTGAAGTGTGTGGAGTGGTGAAGTGTCTGGAGTAGTGAAGTGTGTGGAGTGGTGAAGTGTGTGGGAGGGTGAAGTGTGTGGAGTGGTGAAGTGTGTGGAGTGGTGAAGTGTCTGGAGCAGTGAAGTGTCTATAATGGTGAAGTGTCCACAAACCAGTTGACGAAGAGTTAAACATTACACACTGACACTAAATCTTACTCACATTACTCTTATTAAACTGGTAAACATAACCCGGACACACTGACCACTGCTGCTGCTAGTAGGGGCGGGCTAAGAGGACTCGGGGCCCCCAAGAGCACCAGCGGGCCCCTTACGGTCTTACAGTAATCTAAATTAAAATATTCCCCAGCATACAAAGATCCTCATGTTACAGGAAGAGTTTGAAATGAGTCTGAAACAACAACAAAAACTCGATCATACTGAGATGTTTATGTTTGGTTAGGTTAGGTTAGGTTACATCATACGCCAGATGTTCCTGTTGACGACTTGATATAAACGTTGATTTTGCATCTCTGTATTACAAGGCTCAGTACAGGGCAGCCTCCTACACATATTATGGCTGTTAAGAGGACATAACTAAATGAGTCTAGCTCGTAAGGAAGGCAGCCTCATCTACCACTTGGCTACTTCGTATATAGTAACTATTATGTCTGAAAGAATTCCAAAAGCACTATGGCTACTCGGAACTCAGTAACACACACACACACACACACAGTCTTAAAAGCTGTCCCCTGTTCCTGAGAATTAAACCACAACCTCTGTTTCTCTCTCATTTCAAAAGCCGAGGATATGAGTTCTCTTTTTGTGTGAGTAGATCGTAGCGCGGTAAGTACTAGGGAGTTCTTTTTTCACCAGAACGTTATATATATATAAAAACTCGTTGGTTTCCATTAAAGTTAACAAAAGGATCTGTGATTGAGGGACGTGCCGGGGACCTGGACACAGTGGACAGTATATCGAGGACCAGATGGAAACCAAATACGAGGGAGTGTCTTACCCCCGTGTGTGTGTCTGTGTCTGTGTCTGTGTCTTACCCCCGTGTGTGTGTCTGTGTCTGTGTCTGTGTCTTACCCCCGTGTGTGTGTCTGTGTCTGTGTCTGTGTCTTACCCCCGTGTGTGTGTCTGTATATAAATCTCACGAATAAAAGAAAAAAGTTCAAAGAAAAAAAAAATCCGACACAAATTATAAACAAAACAAAAACATAAAACACCTACGAGAAAAACATAGAAAAAAAAAGTCGTACAAAAAAGTCTTATGAATAAAACAAAAGACAATCACTAAGACAAAGAATGTTTTTTTCGGGCTGTCTTTACCAATCTTCCAGGCTTATATCATTCAGGGGACCAAAGCTCTTAATTTCACGTCTCCTCCCTGGTCCCCCCTTCCCCTTTACCCTTAATTTTACCCATTAATTCTCGTACCATAATCCTTTCATCCCTAATTATACGGCCAAGGTGTCTCATTTCCGTGTTCTATAAAGGTCTAGTTTTTTCTCTCGTAAATAACCCGACTTTATTCTTCCTCCCGATTTAAACGACAGGAGAAAGTGAGGAAGGTAAGAGGGAATGGGGGGGAGGGGCGTAAGAACGAAGAAATGGAGTGACGGAGGGAAAGATGGAGTGAGGGAGAGATATAGGAACGAATGGAGGGACGGAAGAAGCGAGGGATATAAGAAAGGAGGAAAGAAGGGAGAGAGGAAAGATAACAGCAATAATTGTATCAACTCCGACCATAAGAGCCCAGCAAGTACAGTAAGGACTTCGTCGTGTGGTTGCAATTAACTCTCACCTGTTGGGTGTGTGTGTGTGTGTGTGTGTGTGTGTGTGTGTG